TATAGCTAGTTTGGAGCTGTCCAAATTCTGAGTGCCCGGGGGTGCTGGTCATACCTGTACTCTTGCTCCCCGCCAGCCCTACCCCAGCCCATGCCACCCCCAGGGCTGGGGGCAGGAAGTGGAAGCTGGAGGAGGGGGGGGGGGGAGCAGCGACCACCATGGACCCATGGGCTACACATTAACCCCGTGTGGGCTGCATGTATCCATTGGGCCACATGTTGGCCAACCCTACTTTGTGGGGGGGCTGTGAACAGGGCATGTGTAGCGTGATCCATGCCCTGTCCAGCCTTCATTGGCTCCCACCCTCATATCTCCGCAGACCTGCAAACCATGCGCACTGTTCTGGCTGTGTTTGGCAAGGGATGCCTCGCCGCCTCCTTCAACTGCGTCTTCCTCTACACCGGAGAGCTCTACCCCACTGTCATCAGGTAGGAAGAAGCCGCGACCAACTCTTGTCTCCTTGGGGGATCCCTGCAGGGGCTCTGGGTTGCCATCAGTGCTGGGTTTCGTCCACCTCAAGAAGGCCTGTGAGAGCATGGTAGCAAGCTCAGCCACCAGCGTCCCTCACATCATGGAGAGATGTGAAGCCAAGTGAACGCACTAGCTAATGCCAGATCTAATGATATGGCAGACCACATGCTACTGCTTCCTGCCAATTCCCAGTACCACCATAGGGTGGGTGGGTGGATGGATGGATGGATAGATGGATAGTCAAGGAGTTGGATACATGGGATGGATAGAAACACAGATGTTTTCCAGTGGAGGCTGGTAGACAGATATGCAAGGGGACGGACAGACAGATGGAAGAAGGTACATGTAAATGGAAAGATGGATAGATCGATAGATGGAGAAACAGATTTTCCAAAGCTTGGATAGATGGGTGGATGGAAATCCAGACATTTCCCGAGATAGGTTGATAGATAGATATGGAAGGACAGACAGAGAGTGCATGTGGATGGATGGATGGATGGAGAGTACATGTAGATGGGTAGATGGATGGACAGAGGGATGGACAGACAGTGAGTACACATGGGATGGATGGAAAGAGAGTCTATGAAGATGGGTAGACAGACAGATAGATGGATGAATATGGAGGACTAGCCAGATATGCAAAATACAGCCAATCAAGAGAACCCAACCCCAGCCCTGAACACCCATTCCCAGCCCTGACCGTGCTCCCCTCCTCCTGGCAGGCAGACGGGGATGGGTTTGGGGAACACCCTGGCTCGGGTGGGAGGCATCGTGGCTCCCCTGGTGCGTATGACCAGCGACTACTCCCCGTCTCTGCCACTGATCATCTACGGAGCTGCCCCCGTCATCTCCGGCATCGCCACCTGCTTCCTGCCCGAGACCCTCAACATGCCACTACCGGACACCATCGAAGACGTGGAGAGGCAGTGAGTTGTTCCTTGGGTTTCCCCTCTGACCCTTTGTCCGTCTCTCGGTTGGATTCTCCGCCCATGGCAACACGAAGCCAGATGGGGCGGGTTTCTTCTCCGTGGAGCAGCACTGGTTCAAAAGGGGATTATGTGAGGGAAGTCCCAGGGCTTGGGTACTGGGGCACGGTGGCAAATCCGGGGGCATTGCTCTCCCACGAGCCCCAGAGGCACAGGATCAAGTCTTGCCCCAAACTTATGTTGAAGGCTGATTCCATCTGACCACCAATGGTTGCTCCGTAATTCGAGTTGAGGAGCCAGAAATGGCTGGTGACATCACTTCCTTGTGGATCTTTGATTCCAGGAAGCTGCAGGCCATCGCCATCCCGGGGGCAGGTAGAGCTTTGACCTCCACTTTGGTGGCTGCCCTGGTGGCATTATTATCAGTGGCAAAGGGAAACTTGGAGATGTAGGGGTGGGCGTCATCCCTCTCCCAACCCTTTCTTCTCTTTCTTCCCGGTCCAAGAAGATGCAGTGAGATGAGGTGGAAAGACACCATCCAGCAGCCGTCCCAGCCAGATCCTCACAAGGAAGTCCTGTGAGAAGAAAAGCCAAGACTCCTCTGGCATTCAAAAGCAATGAGTTGGGCCAGTCAACAAGAAGAACGCCCTCACGATGTGCCCGCTTGGGGAAGAGGAAATTCCTGGGAAATCCCAGAAAAGCCAATAAAAATAGTTCCTTATTTTGCCTTCCAGATATCTAAGCCACTGAGAAACCTTAGAGGGCCAGCCGGGCCCCAAAGGACAGTGCCTATTTAATAAAAACGCAGCCGATCACAGCCTCCCGATGGATTGTCCCAGTGGCTTTTCAACCACGGAGCACAGTGAGCACCACTAAGGGGCTCACAATGAGTGTAAAGGGGCAACCGAAGGGCAAGCCGGTTGTGCCGGTTTCCCCTCCCATGCCTGGTCTATCTAGACCAGTGGTGGTCAAGCTTGGGGGCAGGAGCTGCTGCCAAGAGGCAGCTCCATCCTCTATCTATCCATCTAGATGTAAACCCCTCCATCCATCCACCCACTCCCCCATCCATCTACAGACACCTCTCTAACTTCCTTGATATCTAGTCCCATCCATCCATTCAAACATCTCCCTTGCTCTCCACCCAACCATAGAGTCAACCCTTTATCTATTCCAAAAACTGCCCCCACCCATCCATCCATCCACCCACCCATCATTTCTCCAATGTCTTTACACAGCCTTGGGTAGCAGAATAATGGCCCATTATCACTACAGGACCATGAACATTATTATAGTTCATTCCTGTCCCATGGCGTTCTCCTTTCCATCATATGCCCATCCCGAAGGGGCCCCAGTCTTGGCCTGGGGGTTCTGCGCAGCACCCAGCGCCCCCTGATCCTAGTCTGGGGGTATGCACAGCATGCCCAGCACCCTCCGATCTCAGCCTAGGGGTCTGTAGCACCCAGTACCCTCCATTGCAGACTGGGGGGGGGGGTCCGTACAGCACTCAGTGCCCCCTGATCCCAGTCTGGGGGGTATGCACAGCACCCAGCACCCTCCGATCTCAACCTGGGGGTCTGTAGCACCCAATACCCTCCAATCCAGGGGGGTCTGTGCAGCACCTGGCACCCCCTGATCCCAGCCTGGGGGGGTCTGTACAGTGCCCAGCACCCCGTAATCCCAGCCTGGGGGTCTGTACAGAACTTGGTGCCTCCTGATCCTGGCCTGGGGGGTCTGTACAGTGCCTGGCACCCCCCAATCCCACCTGAGGGGTCCAATGGATGAGATCCGATGATGAAGTGTCTGATGGAATAGTGGCTTAGCCCCACCCCCTCAAGGCAGTGATGCCCAATCAAGTTACACCAAGAGGCACATCTGGAGTGGACTAGACCTCCCAGGCCCAGCCAGCCTCAGGCCCAGCGTGTCGGGTGCTGTACATGCACATCCCACCCCCTCGGCAGAGCCCGTAGTCCCACAAAGAAAAAGGGGCAATGGAAAGGGAAGCGATTTCCCAGGACGGCAGGGCTGGGAGCAGGGATCCTGGCTCATCACTGGCTGCCCAATCTACTAGGCCAAAGCATGCTCTTAAAATACCGTATTCTCTCATATACGATGCACCTAGGAAGAAGATGCCCCTTGCTTTCAAAAGATGGGGGAAGGGGGAAAAACTCTGTCTTTAGAAACTGCAGTTACTGTGTTTCCTCATCCACATTTCTATTTCCAGAAGCCGCGTTTGGGGGGAAAGGACTCACGTTGCATGCTTGAAAATATTGTATGCCTAGATAGACTTGCACGTTTGGGTGTTGGGATTAGGCTGAGGTCGAAATTTCAGCTGCACGAAGCTGACCCAGGACCTGAAATCAGAGCGCCTCAAGGCCACGATCTCCTACCACTGACCCCCAGCCCAGGTCACCTATTACATCGCTATCGTGATCGCACCCCGAGACCCACCAAGCCCCAGGGCCCCAGAAGCTGTACCCCAAGGGAAGAGGAGACATTCCCACGTCCCTACGATCATCCTGCCATGGCCAAAGCGCGGTAGTATGCCTCAGTTTCCCCATCCCCATGTCTGCCTTGTCTGTTGAATTGGATCCTTTTCCAAAGAAGAATTTTCCCTTCCCTTCATAAACTTGGCACGATGGGTGTCCCGATCCCGCCTGGGGGGTCTGTGCAGTGCCAGGGCATCTCCGACCTGAACCTGGGGAGTAGATACAGCACCCAGCACCCCCTGATCTTGCCTGCAGGGGTCTGTACAGCACCTGGCACCCCATGATACTGGCGGGGGGGGGCTGTACAGCACCCAGTGACCCCAATCCCCATCCGGGGGGGG